ATGTAGTTTATAGCATTGACCAGGAGTCTGTGACTGTCGCCAAATATGCTTAAAAATGAAAATTCAGTTTTAATTGGGTTCGGGTGTAGGACCACATTGGGGACCCTTCATCGAACTGAATTTGTTGCCTGATTACCATGGTCATGACTTTGTCCCTTCACACAGATCAGTGGAGAGACAGTACGTTTATTTAAGTCAACCCTCTAGGGGAAAAATCGCCCTGTGGAAACGTCAGTTCACATTGTGGCCAAAAAGGTATTGTTTTCAAATCCYTGTTCCCCAGCCATTCACAGGTGATGATGATGGGGACCCCCTCAAACAATCAGTTTAGGGGATGTGAGGGATGTGGGGGAGGGAGAGGTTGGGGGAGAGGGTGACCTGATAAGGGTTTATTCTTCCTGAAGCTGATGCACAATCCACAAGTGGCCTCCWGTTAACTGCCACAGCACCAAGGAAACCCCACAAACCTGAGGAGGTTGGGGGCATTTGAGCTGCAGGGTGGGGGATGTGAGAGGTGGGGAGCAGGAAACACTAGGAAGGCCAGGCTGCCGGGACATGCTGAGGGCCGGCTGAGCATGGAGCCCATGCAGGAATAAGCTGGCAAAGTAGATCAGGCCTGAGAGCCAGGGGCCTTCTATGCCATGATGAGAAATTTGGAATTGAAGCTCCCAGCAGCAGGGCAAGAGGAAAGGAGTCTGTCCTGGAAGGTCTGTGAGTAGGGGCGCGCTTTATGAGAGTGAGTTTTAAGCTGAATCCAGGGAGCCAGACCCTTGCTGGTGAGGAGAGAGAATTGAATGATTGATGGGGAGAGGAGAGACCTCAGGACAGCAAAGGAATGGGTGGGGATTTGGGACCCTGTTGTGGGGGTCAGAAAGCAGGAGCGTGGCTTGATGGAGGATGGCAAGTTTGGTTTGAGACCTGCAGGTCTCCCCAGAACTGGGAGGAGATAGATCACGCCTTGGGAGGTGATCAACCTGGAGATGGTGGTTTAGGGTTACCYTCAATTGTAACTCACAGGATGCAATATGGAGGTGACAATCCCCTCAGATGGAGTACCTGAGACCCTTCCCCAGAGTCTGGACTACCCTCGTCTGCTTCCTGAGGGGTGAATGCTACTTCAATTCAAAGCTGGTTCAAATGCCTCTCCTTAGAGGGTGGAGGTGAGAGGCAGGCACAGGCACACCAGACTTCCTAGCTCCTCTTCCGCAGATCAACCTCTGCATTCTCAGTGGGCAACCTCAGTGCCAGCCACAGCACCAGCTCCCCTTCCGCTTCAGGAAGCTGAGTGTGCCTGGCTTTCAGTGTCTGTCACCTCCCACCCACAGCTTCCCAGCAGCCCAAGCAAGGAAAGCCCCCTTCCCTGATGCTAAGGCAGGGTAGATGTGAGTGACAGCCAGCTGCCTGCTGTTGGCAGCAGAGCATCAGGATGGCTTCCTGGTGTGTTCACTCCCAATTCCCCCCATTGACCCAGTTGCCTCTTCTTCTTTGGCCTGGGAGGCTGGGGCCCACCTGTGGRCTGTTCCTCATTGAGCTCCTACTGTGTGCAGGCACCATACTGGGTGCCTTGTGACTTGGTGTGTGTTTAAAATTGCTTCCCGAAGGGCCCCAAGGAGCAAAACAGATGGTGGCTCTGCCCTGAGCAGCACCAGGGGAGAGGGTCAAGAATGCAAACACCAAAGAGGGAGCATCCCCAGATGGGACAGTTTTGAGARAACAGGTAAGCAAGTTGCTAAACCCAGATCACAAGACAGGTGAGGAGGAATTGCTGAGAATGCAACTGTGAGCTGACAGCTGACAAAGAAGGGAGTTAACATGACAAAAAAGAAATGGAACAGCATAGATGGAGCCCTTATGGTAGGAAGGAAGGCCCAGGCAATTCAAGAGCCGAAAGGTAGCCGATGTAGCAAGAGTCCTGTGGGGGACAGCGAGCTCAGTGTGAGGCAGCAGTGGRCTCTTATAGGCACTTGGTAAATCTCCTGGAATATATTGGGTTGGGTGACTCAGAGGGAATCAGAAGACAGGAATTCTAGCCCTAGTCCTGCGCTAATACTTTGTGACATTGGGCAAGATGCTGCCCTACTCTGGGTCTTTTGATAAATCATATGCCCTCACTTATTCTACTTTGATCCTTGAATGCTGAAAGCCTTTGCCCCAGCTGTTCCCATCACCCCTTCTGCACGTCATTCAGACCACAGCATGGACGTCATCTCTCCAGACACTGCTCTGACCACCCACATCGCCCGATTCTCGTTCTCTATATTACATCACCTCACTCTATTTTTTGCTGAGCTCATATGCAAATATCGGATGCTCCTGTTGGTTCTTTTGTCTCTTCTCTGTCTGCCCCTTGCCCCGGAACTCAGTGTCTTCAGGGATTCATGCAATTGAAAGCCAAGTTGCAGAGGCGGCGGGTGAAGGGATACCAGGAATATACTCCCRCCCTGGAATCCAGAGGGCCTGAATTCAAACTGTGTCTACTCCCAGTTAATTTGCACTGAGAACAGGGGYAGACCACTCATACTCTCTGACTCTCTGGGTATCAGTCTTCTCGATTGCAAAGTAGATCATATAGATTGCAAAGTCCYGGCCAGGTTCTCTCCCACCACTGATGGCAAGTTCTGTTCCCCTCTTGGCCCCCTATTCTAGGAAGTGTGGGTGGTTGGGACTGATGCAGGTCAAGTTCATCTTTTTTTTTTTTTTTTTTTAGCAGTGCTGGGGTTTGAACCCAGAGYCTAAAGCTACAACCCCAGTCCTCCCTCTTGTTTTATAAAACACACACACACAAGAACACAAAAACATTATTACATGCCTAAGGCATGCAAGTTCATCTTCTTCTGTTGACCCTTTTCTTATAGTTACTGCCTCAGCATGTTCTTGGCCTATAGGTACCTCTCCAGAAGAGGGACCCTGAGCATCAGGAGGGAGTCATTTCCCAGGGATCAGATAGAAATCTAGTTCCTTGGGGCCCTTYGGGAAGCAATTTTAAACACACACCAAGTCACAAATTGTCTGAAACAASATCTGTTATGATCTCTTCCATTTCACAGATGAGGAAATAGGGATTCTGAGACCCATTAATTTGTCCAGGGTCACCCAGACAGACAGGAGGAGGCTAAGAAGAGACTTTGAACTCAGCCAGGTCTGTCTGACTCATGCTATGGTTCCACCCCCTCACCCACTCCCAGTCTATTGCTCTGTCCACACTGCCATTCCTTTGTGAGTATCTGCAGCATTTGCTGGGCAGGGTGGTGGTAGCAGGGCAGTGAACTTACACATTGATTAACTTCACAAATGCTTAGGGCACCTACTGTGTTCCAGGGACCAGATGTATCTATGTCCCTTCAGGGGGATCCATGAGTATTCGCATATGTAAGGACACATGGGTACACATCTATGCTTGCACATGCTTGGACACATACAGAGATACACCCACGGATCCATATATACACACAAGTATCCTGGACATCAACATCCAGGCTTTAAGATGAGGCACATTGGCAAATACTTATAATTGTGGCTCGGGAGGCTAAGGCAGGAGAATCAAGAGTTCAAAGCCAGCCTCAACAACTTAGTGAGGTTCTAAGCAACTTAATGAGATCCTGTCTCATGATAAAATATAAAAAAAGAGGCTGGGGATGTGGCTCGGTGGTTAAGCACCCCTGGATGCAAACCCCAGTACAAAAAAAAATTGAGGCAAGAAAAATATGCACATAACACACATTAGCACCCATACCCCAGTCCCACACCCACAGTAGCTTACAGCAGTTCACACACTCCAAACTCCCTCCCGCCTCTCTTGCTCCCCTCCCTGGCACCCCTCATCCTCGGAATCTCAAAGCAGACTCATTTAGCTATTAAAAATAACAAGAAGAAAAAATATGAAGTTTTTCCCTGGTCAGAGCCCCTGGGTGGCTGGGGCATGTGACTTCCCTTCTTGGACAAGCATAGACCTTCTCAGGGCATGGAGAGACACAGAGATAAGAGCTTTAGAAACCAGCAAGTTTTAAATATATGTTAGAACAATATTAACATTAAATACACATCATAAATACACTTTATAAATATGAAACTGATTAAAAACTGATAAAAGTCAATAAATTAGACATGTTGCTCTAAGGAATCTGTCCAGCAGTTTCTGGGACCCCCTCCAGGAGGGTAATGGTTTCAATATGAGAAAATTCCGTGACCCACCACCAGGGGGAGCAGCCAGCAGCCAGGACCCAAGACTGGGTGCTTCCAGGCACTGGGAGAGAACTCAGCATGCCCTCACCCCATGGCCATTTGCACCACATGTCCCAATTTACAAAGAATTTGATGTCCACCCTGTGTCACGAAATCCCAGCAACTGACAGGCAGAGGGGGTTTTATATAGTCCCCTGGCTCCCCCCCAAAAAAACTAAGGTCCTAAGAGGTAAAATGACCCACCCAAGGTCACACAGTGAGTTAGTGGCTGGGCTGGGATCTGAGCACCCTTTCCCTAGGCCTCCAGGACACCCCACCCCAGTAACAGCTGCCTAAAGTGAGGTCACCCAGATGTCCAGGTGTCTGGCCTGAGCATTGATGAGGCATCAGAGGTCAGTTCAAGCCCTGACCTCCCTCTCAGAATCCTGCCACCATGAAAAGGAGGAAGTCTGGGGTCAACAGCCCTGCAAGTCATGAGAGGGAAGGGCTGGCTGGCCTCTGGGGATCTGGGGGGAGGGGGGTAGTCAGCCCAGCCATGAGTCAGCTTGTGTCATCAGACCCCTGAATCAATGGAAAGTCGGTCCCGCGTGGCCTGACCTGGCCACCCCACCAGGACTGGGAAACTTGGGGCTGGGGGTGCAACAGCCTGACTCTATCTCCTCAACCCAAAGGAGGCAGGAGGAGCCCAGCCAGCTCCTCTCCTTAAAGTGCACTTCTGTGTCGTGGGGGATGGAGCAGAGCAAGTTTGGTGTCATGCCATGACACCTCACTTCCAAAGGGAACCCCTGTGTCCTTCATCTGCAAGGTGCGCCCTTACGCTACCAGGGCAGATGCCCCCAGGGCACAGGCCTCTTGCCCCTCCTGAAGATCCTAGTCTTGAGGACCCCCTTGTGCAGAGCCCGGCGTGGGCTGTGTCTCCGGCTCCTGCTCGGGCTCTCTCCCCACTCCCTGAATACCCACCCCACTGAGCCCATGAAGCGATGGTAGCCACGCAGGAACCTGCAGCCCTCCAGCTTGGCTTGAAAGACATCCAGGGCAGAAGTGAGCTGCAGCCAAGGCCCTGAGCCTGTCGGCATGGGCTCAACAGTCTCAGAGGAGCCATTAAGCAACCAGGACATACAGTGGATGTTGTTCCTGATGCCTTGTATGTTCCTCTTGGCCGTCTCCAGTTCTTCTAAGTCCTGGGGTTTTAAGAGTTGCTTTTGTAAAGTAACTAGTCCTTTCAGGACTCGGCCCAGGATGGCATTGACAGTCCACAGGAAGCTTCGCTTGCTCAGTCCCCGAAGTGCATCCTTGCTGGGAAAGGCCCCAGGATGCTCTGTGCAGGATCCTCTCAGGATAGGTGTGTTCAGTTCTTGGTGTTGGATCTGGGGGGAACAGAAGAGTCAGAGAGTGCATGCTGGAGTCCCCCTCCCCAGCCCAACCACACACATAGAAGAGCCCACCCTGACTGGCTTTTAAATGCTAAAACTGATTCTCCTCTATCTGATTTTCCCATTGGACAGATGCAAAAACTGAGGCCCATGGGGGACAATAGATTCTGAGATCACCCAGGACAGGGACAGAGGGCTGTTTGGGGTTGGTGGGGGTGATTGGATGAGGGCATGTCAGTGGGAAAGGGGGGCTTCAGAAGGGCAGGATCTGTTTTGCTCACTGCTACATCTAGGTGCCTGGAACCAGGCACCTGCCAGGTGTGCAGTGAACACGCTGAACAGGCAGTGGAACCAGGTGTTGGGAGCTAGGGCAATTCAGCTTCTCAGGGTTAGGGCTGGAATAACACTAGGACTCAGTTTCCCCACCCACCCCCGTATTGAGTAGGGGTTATGCTCACTCCCTGGCTAAACCCCACAATTCTCTGAGGCTCAGAAGCCACAAGGGGTGAGGTGCTCACATAGGGTTCCAGAAGTGAGCTGGTGTCCTCTGTGAGGTTCGCCTGCCTCTGGAGCTGGCTGAGGAGCTGCTGGTAAGGACCCGAGCAGCCACGCATGGCTGCTGCAGTGCTCAGGAGCAGAAGTCCGAGGACCAGACCTGAGATGAAGAAGGATGCGGGTCACCTGACTTGAGAGGAAGCCACAGGTGGGAGACTCAGAGAGGGACTCAAGAGAGCCCCAGAGGTGTATTCTCCCATCCCAGGCTTTGTGCAGACAGGTGGCACTGTGGGGCCACCACCACCTTCCCAGTGAGTCACTAGATCCGAAACAGGGTGGGAAGGGCCAGGATAGCGGCTGCCATTTACCAAGTAGGTGTTTGAGCAGAAGTTGCGGCACCCATCCTTGCTGGAGCTCAGTCCTGCCTACGTCAAGATCCTAACTTCATTTGTGTAATATGAATTGAATTGCATTCTGCTGTCATATATAACAAATTAGAATAAATAAAATTTAAAAATTAAAAAAATATATCCTAACCTCAGGAACTAAAAGCAAATGACCAAGTTGGAACTAGCTCTCTGCAAGATCTTGGGGCTAAGGGCTGGCCCCTCTCCAGGACCCAGACTTGTCAGCTACCCTGGACTCCCTGCGGCAGGCTTTAGTCCTCTATTGGGAGGTTTTTGGGGTGGCAGCCCCGGAGCAGCCAGGTGCCCTGTAAACAGAACTAGAAGAAGTGACCTCTCCATCTGAATGGTCAACCAGGAAAGGAGATGGGAGCTCATTCAGTGCATGTGCCCATTTTACTGACAGGTAAACCAAGTCACACGAGATGGGCTTGTCCAGGACACACAAGGCCAGAGCTTTCCCCAACCTCCCATATATTCCTCCTCTCTCTATAAATGGCCACTTCAGCCTGGCCCACCGGGGATGCTGCAAGCCTGTCAGAAGGCTGCAAGGGGCTGGTGCAGTTATGGCTCGCTGCCCCCACCCCCACAGCACCAGCAGCCACGTGGTCGGAAGGGGCCTATGGCGCAATGGCCCGGAAGACAGTGACACCATCCTTCCCTTCCTACAAACTGTTCAGTCCCTTGGGGAGGACTGGCTGCTGGGGAGGCCTGAGAGGCTGGGCCCCTGAGTGTGCCATCCACAGAGTGCCCTCGCCAGCTCCCCAGGTATCCACAGCCAGACTCTGGCTGGGGGTGGGAAGGTCCGTGGTGTGCGGATGACGGTACGCACATGAGACTAGGTGTCTGCAGGGTGTGTGGCAGGGGCCATGTGAGGCTCAAGGAGCACCTGCCCTCTTCACTGGAGCCCTGCTTGCAGGTGAGGCTTCCTGGATAAGGCTCTGGTGATGTCACAGGACTCCCTGTGCCTGCTGTCCTGTGGGTGTGGCTTGTGTGCTGTGTGATTGTCTRGGCTCCGAGGCCCCCGGGACTGGCTGACCTGAGAATTCATCCCAGACCTGGAGAATCAAAGCAGGGCAAGAAGGAGGCCCCATCGGAACACATATTGCCCCACTTCTCTGCCTGGCTAGTAACTTCCTTCCCTTCCCGGAACATCTTCCTCTTTCCTTTTGGTTCCCTGGTCTCTTCCCAATCCATCCTCTTCCCTCAGGCCTTGTTCCCAGAGTCGTCTATTTCACCTTCCCCTAGAAACCCTCCAGGGGTACCCCCTCCACCTGTGGGTATCCTGGGTTCTCAGTGGACCCCTTCCTTTACCTGACCTCTTGGCTCTTTCCTCTCCTCAGCATCCTTCTGCCTGGTGACTGCCCACCCCAGCTCTCAGAGGGCAGAGAATGCCCCGCTACCCGCCAGCACCCWGGGCACAGCAAGCAGGTGCTGGTACAGAGGAAGGAAGTACTTACTGAGCAGCGTCCTCCTTGTGAGTTGTGCCCGCATGCTGGGTGCCCGTGCTGTGGCCCGCGCCTACCGGGGGTAACACCTCCCTGCTGGGAGCCCTGCGGGCTGCCAGCCACTTTATGCCCGCCGGGGCGATTGGCCAACACCTCGTGAGGTGGGTGGGGAGGGGGTGGGGGGAGGGCAGGCCTTCTGGGAACATGACCCCAAAAACCAAAGTTTCCACAGCGGCCAATGGGCGATGGGTGCTGTGGCATGCCCGCTCCTCCTCCTGTTTTCTTCGAATTCGTTCTTCGAGGTCAGCCCCACGCCCAAGGATGATGCAAACTACAGCCTCAGCCTTCTTGGGGAGAGTGGGAAGCAAGAGGGTCCCTGCCATCTTCAGGAGCCTGGGCCCAGGGTAAGAGGGAGAGGCTGCAAGCCAGACCTGCAGAGGCCCGGGTCCCTCTTCCCAGGAGGCACCAGCCCTGCAGGACACTGAGGTCTGGGGCTGAGGGGAGCAAGACATCTTCCCTGTTGAGTGCCCTTCCCGCCCTCTCGCTGGGGCTGTTGGGACATCTGTGAGCGGAAACCACTGGGCTCTGGGCACAGAGCCAGACCCAGGCTGGCAGCCCCGAGATTGTGGTTCCAGCCCCAGGACTAGCATCCCCCAGCCCAGCACTCCCTGTCTTCAATCCCTCAGCAGGCACCTGCTACCAGCCTCACATCCTAGGTCTCCCACCCACAGGCAGACCCTTCTCTGCAGACAGAGTCCTTTAGGGGAAACTGGACACTTGGAGCAAGAGAAAAAGGACATCAGGTTTCAAGCTTTCTGAGCTGCTATGTGGCCTGACATAAGTCACTTAACCTGTCTGGGTCCCAGAAACCCAACCTGAGGAAGTCAAAAGCAAATTTCCCAGCCCACCTCACAGGGCTGCTGCCATCATGGACATAAAAGGCAAAATCTTTTGAAGGAAAAAGACGAAACTCTAATTCCAAGTACTAGCTATTGGGGGGGGCGGGCAGGATGGGGGAGTGGAGGAGATGGGGAAGCTGTGAGCTCAGAGGGGAAGCCGGGGAGGGGTAGTGGAGCTGCCGYGGTGACAGTTGGAGACCAGGTTTCACTTTCTCTGAAAGATAGCGATCATGGGTTGGTCCTCTGCTTCTTGAAGGCATCTGAACATGACAAGAAAGGCGCCCTGGAGACAACGCCCCTCTAGTCAACCTGCTACTTTACTGTGGGGTAAACTGAGGTCCAGGGCAAGGGTGGACAAGGTGGTTCAGGGACTAGCCAGGGGCCTGCAGGCCGTGCCTGGCAGCCCCACACAAGTAACAGGCCTGGAAAGGGGTCAGTTGAGAGGCAGATCTCATAAGGCTGAAGAGCCAGGGTGGGCCCCTGGGGGCTGGCAGAGAGGCCTGGGCTGCAGGCAGCGGGTGCATCACTCCTGAAGAGCCCTTCACCRAAAGCCAGTGACGCCAGATGGAGGCCGCTCCGCCTGCTCTCCACCTCTGAAGACAGGCCCCTGCCACCCCTGTATTCAACAGACTTGGCCCTGCTCTGTGCCAGCCACCCCCAGGCGCTGAGGATTCAACAGTAGGCAAAATCAGGCAGTCTCCATGCCCAAGAGGCTGCTCTACACCCCCAACCGCTCCCTGCACAAGGCCCAATGCCCCACTGTCACCACCCCCAGGGGCCAGTTCTGGATTCTCATCCTGAGAATTCCGCTTCCACTAAATTCCCCTTCTCATCCACCCCCACAATGCCTGGGGCCCTGGCCAAGTCAGGATCCTTCTCCATTTCACATCCCTGATCTCATCCTGCCACAATCTCTAGAGGAAGATTCCCTAGCTCGCTTTGATGAGGAGACAGAAGCTCCCAGAAGTCCAGGGGCCTAATCAGGGCAAGAGAGCCAGATGGGGCCACAGAGCTTCATGCCCCTCTCAGCAATTGCTGATCGCCCGCCACACCTGGGGAGTCACACCTCTGCTTTATTCTATTCTGCCCACAGTTCAAGGAGGCCATGTTCCCTCACCAGTTCCAAGACTTCTGAGGTTGCCCAAGGCCACCCTGCAAACAGTTAAGAGGGCATTCAAACCAGGCCTAATTCAAAGGACAACATTCTTAGCATGGGGCTACACAAAGTGTTGTGCCCAGGCCACAGGGATCAAGGTCACCAAAGGCAAGGACAGCTTATATATTAGTTTGCTGGGCCTACCATAATAGAAACACAGACATCCCAGGGCTTCCACAGGGACTGGTTCTGTCACATCTGAGTTTGTTCAAGCCCCTTATATGGTATAGTATCTGCAGAGAATTTAAGACACATCTTCCCATGTATTTTTGTGGGTGTGCGTGTTGGGGACACTGGGGATTGAACCCAGGGGCACTCTGCCAGTCCAGCTATATCCTCAGTCCTTTCTATTTTATTTTTTTTAAATCTCGATATAGGATCTTGCTACATTGCTGAGAGCCTCAATAAGTTGCTAAGGCTGGCCCCGAACTTGCAATCCTTCTGCCTCAGCCTCCCGACTCACTGGAACTGGAAGTGTGCAGCCACCATGTGTGGCTCCCCTATGCTTTAAGTCATCTCTAGATGACTTTTAATACCACAAAGCAAATGCTTAGTAAACAGTTCTTAGACTATATTATTCAGGGAATAATGACAGGAAGAAAAATGTACATGTTCAGCACAGACAAAACCATCAGAGGCCTAACCACATTGCCATCTGCAGGTAGTTGAATCTAATGATGTGGAACCTCCCGATACAGAGAGCCAACTCTGTTACAGGCAAGGTGGCTTAGACAACAGAAATTTATTAGCTCACAGCTCAGCTCTGGAGGCTAGAAATCTGAACTCAAGGTGACAGTAGGTTGTTCCTTCTTGGGTCTCTCTCCTTGACTTGTAGATGGTCATCTCCTCCCTCCCTCCCTCTCTCTCTCTCTCTCTCTCTCTCTCTCTTTTGTACTGGGATTGAACTCAGAGGTGATTTACCACTGGTCCACATCCCCAGCCCTTTTTACTTTTTTGAGACAGGGTCTAAATTGCTGAGGCTGACCTCAAACTTACAATCCTCCTGCCTCGGCCTCCCAAATTGCTGGGATTACAAGTGTGTGCCACCGTACCTGGCTCTGTCTTCTTGTCTTCTTACCTGGTCACCTATTGGTCTGTGTTGTTGGTGTCCTAATCTCCTCTTTTATAAGAACACCAGTCATATCAGTGTAGAGCCCACCAATGGCCTCATTTTACCTCAATTACCTCTTCAAAGGCTTTATGTCTAAATGTAGTCGCATTCTGGGATCATGTGAATGAGGATTTTAGACACATGAATTCAGGCAAGCCATGATTCAGCCCATAACATCTTGCAAGAGGAGGCACTGTGGGAAGGCTTCAGGGAGTGGGGACACTGGCTGAGGGTTCAGCGCTAGGTGATATAGGAGGACAGGGAATGGCCAGAAGGTAGGGAAGCCTGGCCTCAGGACCATTCAAGTGAAGCGTGAGGGAAGGTGCGTCAGCGTTTCTGGTGAGGTCAGTGCCCAGTGACGTCCCTCTCGCCAGCAGGAAAAGCTTGCAACATGGCCCAGCCAGTATAAATAGGATCCCCAACCACAGGGCCCAGGGCTGTCCCCTCTTCCTGGGCCACGTCAGGCAGGTCCGCGTGATTTGGAGAGGAAGAGAGGACAGGCTTGGTTCCTCAGAATGGCTSTTTCCCAGCCTTTCCGGCTCACCCTCAGGCTGTGGGGGCCCTGCCCCTTCAAATGCAAGAATCGGACCTGCCAAGGCCTGGGGGAAGCAGATGAAAACTGGGGATGGGAGGTGGGGTCCTCCACTGGGTAGAAAAAAGGTAGCCCCCCCCCCACCTGCCAAATCAGAGGTGGAGAACAACTCAAGTTCCAGCCTCAATCTGCTCCAGAGCCCAGTGTTCCTGGTCCAGTCATGTTCTCTTTTTCAGCTTCAGTTTCCCCTTAATAAACATAGTGACATAAAACAATCCAATTTAAAAATGAGCAAAGGAGCCAGGTGCAATGGCACATGTCTGAAATCCCAGAGACTAATCAGGCTGAGGTAGGAGGAAGGCAAGTTGAAGGCCAGCCTCAGCAACTTAGTGAAGCCCTATTTTAAAAAAAAAAAAAAAAAAAAAAAAAGGACTGAGGAGGTAACTCAGTGGTAGAATACTCCTGGTTTTAATCCCAATAATATCCCAATAATAATAGTAATAATAATAATAATAGTAATAATATAATAGTAAGCAAAGAAAGCTGGGCCCAGTAATGTACACCTGTAGTTCCTGCTACCGGGAGGCTGAGGCAGAAGGATCACAAGTTCGAGGCCAGTCTGGGCAACTTAACTGACACTCTATCTCAAAATAAAATAAACTGAGGATGTGGCTCAGTGGCACAGCACCCCTGGGTGCTGAAAAAAAAAGGGGGGGGGGGAGTTGAATAAACATTTCTCAAAACAAGGATATTCAGGCTGGGCATGGTGGCACATGCCTGTAATCCCAGCAAGTTGGGAAGCTGCGACAGGAAGATTACAAATTTGAGGCCAACCTCATCAATTTACCAAGGCCCTAAGCAACATAGAGCCTTGTCTCAAAAGAAAAAGAGACCCTGCCTCAAAATAAAAAATAAAAAGGGCTAGGGATGTGGCTCAGAGGTTAAGTACTTCAGGTTCAAATCCCAGTACCAAAAATAAACAAACAAACAAAAAATAATATTCAGGGCTGGGGATGTGGCTCAAGCGGTAGCACGCTCGCCTGGCATGCGCGCGGCCCGGGTTCGATCCTCAGCACCACATACCAACAAAGATGTTGTGTCCACCAAAAACTAAAAAAATAAAATATTAAAAATTTTCTCTCTCTCTCTCTCTCTCTCTCTCTCTCTCTTTAAAAAAAAATAATAATATTAAAATGGCCAAGAAGCACAAGAAAGATGCTCAATCATTAACCATCAGGAAAATACAAATCCAAACCATATTGAGAGATCATATCACTCCCACTAGGGTGGTCGTAATCAAAGACAGACAATAACAAGTGTTGGCAAAAATAGGGAGGAATTGGAAGCC